CAGATGCATCGGTATGAGTTGGATCATACTTGGATGACTTTGGATGACAGATCCAAAAGTACGACTCTATGAAAGAGTTGAATACAAGATAACTAAGAATGTAGTGCAGTCATCTCCAGAAGTAGCCTTTCTTGGCATGTCTAATCTAAACAGGAGCAAAAAGCACTTCCTTTCCCAAATGAAGATTAAGAACTCCAGGGGAAGACAGGTTTCTTTGGCTTGTCTTACCAGAGGTTGTATTTAGTCCATGCAAAGAGATGTGAATGAATTATATGCTTGAGATTTGAAGACTTTTTAATGTGCCCCCTGTTAAAAAGGAGCCCCTAGATGTAGTATAGAATCCATACTTTTTGTTTTCAGTTACTGAGTGGTGTGGAGGGGGAAAGGCAAAAAAAGACATTAAAAATTATTAAGAATTGCTTGGTTGACTATTTGGCTATAACCATATAAAATTCTCAGACTCCTATTTCCTTTATATTTTTATTCAGCTGGTCGAACATGAACTGAGTGTATTTCCCCTATAATGTGAGAATGTACCATAGTTGGATTTAAAGTAGCTTCCCAGGAGCGGCTATGGTAAAACGTCCACAACTACTTTGCCCCTTTGTGAATTTGGAATGAATTTAAGGAAATAAATGTTGAGATTGGAAATTATTATTTGTTGTGTGTTTTTTGTGTGTGGTTGTTTTTTTCTTTTTTTGACACTATCAGGGAATGTCAGAAATCCTTATTCATCACAGTTATGTACATTCTCTGCATAGTGTCTTCACTGTCTCCTCAAGTCAAACCTGGAAGAACTTCATCTGAGCTCCACTGGAAAACTCCTTGCAGAGAAGTTGGGGTTATGAGGAATATAGCTTGTCCTAGACTTGCTGCATTTGCAGCATCTGTAACTTTTGTCAGCTCTTACTGTAGAGATGGATGATAGCAAGAAACACTGCTTTTTGGTTGAAAACATAGCTTGCAGTATGATTTGGATTTAACATTGTATTCTAATATTGGCTCCAATACTGTCACATGTACTAGTTTTCTGAAGGAAAGATGGAATTTAAAGAATATGGGCTTTTCTTTCACTGAAGATATCAATGTGGCTTTATGTATGGTGTTCTTTTTTTGACTAGTGTCCTATTTCAATATGACTACCTATGCTTTTTAATAAGTGATTAGAAATGAAAGTTAACAGGTGATTTAGGGTACTATAAACATACATATATGTGAATTTGCCCTCTTTTAAGGGTTTAAGAAAGTCAAATTAGGAGGTAAGAACTGTTTTTTCTGAAGCCACATGACTGTTGGGAGAGTGTTTCTTTTGCATATGCCGAGGGCTATATCCAGGAAATACATTGAAAGGTATTTCTTCTACTAAGGCACACTGAGCCTAGTTTAAGAGCTATAAATGAGTAAGAAACTAGCTGTAGTGTACATGACAATAGGTGTTGCGTTTCAGGGGAAAAAAGCTACTATTCAGTTTCCTCAGGCATCAGTATTAAAGAGCAGTCTTGCTCAACTTACATGAAAATGGAGTAAAACATTCTGTTAGCACAAAACCAATTCTTTAGGAGATGTAGTCAATACAAAAGAATGTTAGAACATCGTGCAGAAAGGACTTGATTACCCGAAAATAATAGATGTAATACAAAATTAAGGTGTGGTTTTTAGAAGGGGAAAAAAAAAAGACATTGTGCTGAACCCTAAAAACAAGTTTCATCTGTAACTTGAGTTGCTCTGCTGGAAGCAATTGGGGAGGACAGCATGGATGGATTCAGCAGTCAGAGGATAATGCTAAGTTACTAGCATGATTCTCGGGTGAGTGTGTTGAAGTACTTTCAGCACAGAGAGGAAGGCTTAGTGCTGTTATATATAGCTGTAAGACCTTACCTGAAGTACTGCATTACAAGCCCAGTCATTCATAACTGAGAAATATGAACTGACGCTAGAACAAGTACAAACAAGGACTGTTTGTGGGGTTTGTTTTTTCTGTAGAAAAATATTCTGAAACAAAGAGTAGTATGAGGAGTAAGAACCCAGGATTGCAGTGTGACAGGACAGTGAAGTCTATTCTTCAGCTATCATGGACAACACATTCCTTTTCCCCAACTTAACTGAGTCCCACTCTAAAAATAGTTAGGATGCTGGCTTTCACTGCTCCCTTTAAAAAGCTGTTCAGAATGCATGGTTAGAAGCTCTTCAGGATCATAGATTTTTGCTAGGTATAAATTGAGACTGAAGAAGATTTCTGAGTTTGCTTATTGACTTGTTTCGATCAGTATGAAGGACTTTTATGAATTCTCTTTTGTTAAGATCCTAAAGCTTTCACTGATTAGAACTTACTTATTTCTTGCCAATCATTTTAAAATTATGTGAATTTTCAGTAATAAACAACTTTACAAATATTTACAAAATTGTTCTCAATTCTGACAGAAGTAGAGGGATAATTACACCAAGATATATAGTTACATCTTATTGCTGAGTTGCAAAGTAGCTGTCATCTAAAACTAGAAATACAATATTTGACAGTTCGTGTTACTGGACAGCTTTCATCTGCTGTGCCCTCAAAATACCTCAGTTATCTCAGTGGTACTTATAAGTACAGACCCACATTCTCATTATAACCTTGTTATCACAGATGGAATAAAGGTCATCTATTTTATTTGAAGCTACGAACAAGATTGTAGTAATTTTTATTCTTGTCTTAAGATCATTTTTGGTTTAATTTTATTTAACTATATCTTTATTTTACACAGGGGCGGTGTTATTTGGGTCTGACAGATTTTTAGAGAATTTTACTGACCCTGTATATGTGATATCTAATTTTAGGCATCTGCTTTTGAAAATTAGGTGTCTCTATCTGTAGCCTTGGTCTAGTTTCCAGAGGAACTGGAAACCTAGAGAGGACTTTTTTTCAGCACTGGCATTACATTTTCCAATAGTGACAGGACAAGCTGTGTCAGAGTACTCTGAAAACTCAAGGCTGTTCTCAGTTTCTTTTGTTCTTGATTCAAAAATATACCAGGATATTTTTTTACTAAGAATTATTTATTTGAAGGATTACATTCTTTATCAAAACACTTTCCTCTTTGAAGCATCCTCTGGAAAATTGGAGTGGTGAACTCTTTTTGGATTAAATATTTAAATTCAGAGATCTAGTTATGACATCTAATTTTCAGCATCTGTATTTCAGATATCACCACAGTGTGTTGCCTGCGCGGAGAATGAGCTCGGTTGCCACTTTCAGACCTATGGCACAGTAATAGTTCTGGGGGACATCCTTAGGGATGACCCACACGTCATGCCCAAACACTTGGCTATGCTTTGGGTTTTTTTTTTTGTCTGAAATGTCTGAGTACACAAAAGAAATAACTCTCCCAGTTTATTTGTATTAGTATTTCTTAAATAGTCTGTCTTTCCTGATTGAGTGATACATTCTTTCCCTTTCTGATTCTGCTGATTTGGATGTAATGTGCTTATTTAGATGTAAATTTTAAAGGAATGTGATCACTACCCTCGCTTTCACTTTTTCTTTTCACTTAGGGTAGCTTTTCTGCTCGATTTTAATTTTTTTTTTTTAAGATAGTGAGTTCTTAAAGGCAACAAATCTTTAAGTGATTGATTAAAGCAATAGATCAACTATTGCCCGCTGAAGTAATTTTGCACTTTCAGATCACAAAGGAGATTAAAGCTCAGACTGAAGTAGAACACCTTTAGGGTGCTAATATCATGAATTGCAAATCCAGGCAGGGCCAATTAAAAAAAAACCAACAACAAACCAAAACTCCTTGTATGGGTAATATGGCAAACACCCTTTCATATTTAAAAACTGCTACAGTTTTGCCAGATTCAGCTGTTAGCTGTTGTGTGTTATGACTTACTAGGTGGCTACTAGTATTGTGCACAAGCAAAAGAATCTTAAGAGTTTGGGCTACTTGAAGTAGTTTCTCAGCCTGTGATGTGATGCTCACCATTTCCGGTGAGCTAATAGCAGAGTACAGCGTCGGTACGCAGCGCTGTTTGCTGTGACTGCTCAGCTACTAGTGAAGGCTAAGAGCCACAGCACTGCAGAACGGCAGGCATCCTTGTTTCATTTGTGGCTGACTCATGTTTTTAATAGGCATCAACAAACAAGATTAATGAAGCAGTATTGAGCTGCTGATGCCTCATTCGGGAGCAAATAAAATGTTTTTTTTTCTCTTTCTTTCTGTTCCCCCCAAAGGCTTGGAGGATTAAAACTGTCTTGCTGTTTGATTCCTTTCCTCCAAGATTTCCAATATATCTGTAGGTGTTTTGGTCTACCTTCTTGTACTGCAATTCTAGTGATAAACCTTAGAAACAACTTGATGCAAGTCATGATGGGCTCAAGGTACATCTGACCTAAATGAGTTACCTTCCTCATGAGGTGGGGAATTGTGCCCTTGGCTTCTGACTGTAAAGCAAACGTGTTTGACCAGTTCATGGTTGGGCGTCTGCTGTAGGCAGATGACTCTTGTGTATTGTCACCTAGAATTTCTTTGGTTCAAGACATGATGGAAATAGTAAATGTAACTGCTTACTTCTTTCCACATATGTTGATAGCTTACTCCAAAATAGATCTTCAAGAGCCTATTATGTAAAATACAATTACCCTTAGATCACGTGTGAAAGGGATACAAAGCGTGATAACTCTTACAACTCAAGTGGATTCAAACTTTAAAAACCAACACACCCACCCCTCCCCAAACAATAAAAATGCACTGTAAATAAGGCTTTTTCTTAATTTTGGAGTAAAACTTACTGGCCATATAATTGATTCAATACCTGTTACTCTAATTAAACTGTTCTTACTGGTTTAACTTTCTATTAATAATCTATAAACCATAAAAACATTGTTGACATTTATGTAGGATACACTTTTGTTGATCTGAATTAAATTTTAAATTGTTGATACTGGATTTTCTGTTTATTCCTATTATAATGTAGGCATTTCTTCACAACCTAATAAATGCAATGTTTTTTTTCCAGATCTGTTTTCTCCTATTTGCTGTTCTCTACATAGTTTCCTACTTCATAATCACAAGATACAAAAGGAAAGCAGGTAAGCATACAGTTTTTAATATACTCTAAAATAATTTTGTGTTGCAAGTGAATAGGTGATTCTTTTTCTCTCTGCCTCCACAAGGAAAGAGGAAGAACTGGACCTCTGACCAAAAGTGTTTCTCTGGCTGCAGGTCTATAGCAGACTGGACTGATCTGATTGTACATGCTACCTTCTTGCCCTCTATCTGCTCTCTTTGTTCCTGAGCCTTGGTTTTTGTTTTTGGGTTTTTTTTTTTTTTTTCCTTTCATCCCCTCCCTTGTGCCAGCTCTGGCATTTCTCAGAGCCTTGATCGTGCCTTCTGATATCACTAACCACAGGAGGGAGTGCACTGAAGCATCTCAGAAAAGAATCAGTGAATGCTGTAGCTGGCACTCTGCAGTTGAGTGAGAATGGGTGGTTATGGAGGTGGTGTGGATGGCCACAATCAGTTGTTGCGTTGTGGCTTCGTGGCCATGTAAACTGTTTTGAGAGGGAAGAAAGGGGAGAATTTCAAGTAGAGCTTCTGCCTCCCTTGCCTTTAGATCCTGTTGCTCTCCTTTCACGTCAGATTTTCCAGAAGAAATATCTTCAGGCTGTGTTCTAGCACCAAAATCAAGTTCAAAGCTTTAGCTGGTAAAGCGAAAAGTTTGCCAGTAATACAGAAGGGAAGTAGCAGATTTCTTCTAAAAATCTTGCTATGCTCAGGTACAGTTATTTTAGTGTCATCAGCTTGTTCCTTATGACCTCATCACTGAAGTCTTATTCCTTGAGAAAATCGCATATTTTTTTTCCCTTTAGAAACACTGTCTGAAACTAGTCTGTAGGTACCCCTGTCATTTTCTTCTATATTTCTTCTAAAGACAAATAACATAAAAATCTGTATAAAATGGCAGAATTTTGACTCTTGACAGCTTATCTGGGACCTTGGTGCTTGGTAATAGTCAGTCACGCTGGAAAACTGTTCTTATGCATGATGATCTTGGCACTTTGAACTGTGGTGGAAACTGTTTATTGAGCTATAGTGACCTGTGTTACGATAGAACTGCTTTCATAGATGGATTCATGTTTAAAAAATTAAACTCTTCAGGAAATTTAATACCTTTAAAAAATGTGCACGTCTTTAAACGTAGAGACTAGTTAAGTAAGATGGATACTATCTTCTGATTCTAGTACATACATTGGATATTACAAAGCTGCTACCATTTGGAGATACAGAAGAACAGGGAGGGGGAACTGGTTTGGCAAATGCTATTGGATGTAAAGACACTTTTATTACCTTTTTGGCAGTTAATCTCATCTGTTAGTGAGAGGAGCTGCTCTGCAGCTGTCCTGACTTCATGAAAGCTGTGTGAGCTTTTAGTTAGGCAAACTTTGTAGCCTGCTAGGCTCTGTCCTGATGAGGCACATTTGAAGAGTTAGCACTTCTGGAATTCTTTCAGGACAAATTGTTTGCTGTTTCTACAACAAGCTCTTTAGCCAAAATGATTCATAAGAGACCTTGACATAGTTTCTCAAAACACCACGAGATTCCTGTCAAAAAACCAGAAACAATAACCTAATGTACTTTCACAGAAGAATTGCGAAATAGCATGATGTTAGGGGCTACATGTTTATTTCAAGTGTGTGTGAGAACGTGACTTTTAGGAACTTGAAACACCTGTCTTATTCTTAGATTTTTAAAATAAATTCGAGTTGCCTTTCATGGAAAACCTGGGAGACTTAGCTGACTAAAGTTTTCTTCTTTTATTTCAAATGTAGAAATACATACATTCATGTACAGATGGATATAAAGAATAAATGATTGTTATATTAGTGATTGACCTCTGAGTTAAATGTTGATAATATTTCAAAGAGTTGGAATATTGAGGAATAAGTCAACAAGAATGGTTTAAAATGTGAAATACTAGAAGGGAAGTCATGGTATCTTAAATCCAAAACAAACAACAAGAACAACAACAACTCTCCTTCCCCCTTCCCCCAAATTCCCAGGAGTAGGGCGAGGGGAGAGGGATGAGAAAGGGGAAGCAACTGCGTGGTCATCAGTACTGTTCTGAGTATGCTTTCTTGTTTTTAAAAATACGTTAATACTGAAAATTAAATATCTATTTTTGAAACATGTTTGCTGTAGAGCCCTTTGGAAGACGTTTCCAAGAAGTTTTGATCTGCATATTTAAATGAAGTTAAATAACTTCTTAGTTACATTGATTGAAAAAACTTGAAGATGAGCAAAAAACAAGAGTATTCACTTTTGATAGGAACGTTCTTAAAATATTGATGCTAATAAATTGTTTCAGTAACTATAAATTTTATTTGGAAATTAAAATTATTCCTATGTATATACATTTTAGCCTGAGGAAACATGACTAAGTATTGAATATAACCTGCTGTAATTTAATTTTCAGATGAGCAAGAGGATGAAGATGCCATCGTTAACAGAATATCGTATGTATAGCTTTTTTTTGCAGAACTTTTTTCCTGAATATTTTGTTTTGATAGGAATCTTGTATGTTTCCAAATAATTAACCGTCCATTTTAAATGTGACAGCAAATAGACTTCTAGAGGGCAGAGGAAAAATATTTGATCAGGTGGCACCTTGTGTTATGAAAGGCATGGCAAGAGGCAAGGCAGTTTGGTTTAGGGCCTTTTTCACCTGGGGCTTTCCTGATAGCCATGAAGTTGGCCAGAATATTGCATGAGGACCTGATGCAAGAGGTGCAATTCAGTGCAATGCCTGCACCTCAGTTTAGGTCTCTAGAATATAGGTGTTTATATGGGAGGTAGGTGTTTCAGTTCCCACTGCCGTCAATGGAAGAAGCCCTGCCAAGGGAGGCAATGAGTCCTGGAAGGAAAGCTCACCCTGAAGTAGACATCTGTATTTGATAATCTTAAAAAAGCTTGAAAAATAAATAACAAATGGAAGACAAACACTTGCCAGACCTGCTGGTCTGCCAGCAACACTCTCTTCTCTTCCTGTTCCTTTGTAAAGCTAGATACTAATCTCTCATATTTAAATACGTCTCAAGATTTACAGAACATCTGTGAGCTGTTGCTGCCCCCTCAGGTGATTTGCTAAACTATGTGGAGTTGCTGCTTGCTTATTACAATGTTCTTAGCTCTTCCATGGTGGTACTGTCATCCTCTTGGAAGGAGAGCTCACTGAGTATTTTATTGATTTGTTTTGTACCCTGGGAAACTGCCGAGTACATTGCAAGCTGTTCACTTTTAGCTTTGCATTTGTGACAAGCTTGAAAGATGTACAAGATGATGTAAATATTAGGCACATTTCTCCCAATAGTGTCTGATACCAGTATTTTTTATGAATTTGAAATACTTACTTGCCACAAGGTCTGCTTCATGTCTAGAGAGAGAAAAATACATACTTTTAAATGCTATGAAGCTCTTCACTCTCAAAGAGGAGCATCTCTCCTGTGCTTTTAAGACTACAGCGAAGGCTCTTCTAACAGTGAAGGATCTTCTAGATTGAATGATTCTGAATTTTTCAAGATGCAAAGAGTAATATTTGTCATTAGCTCTTATCCCCCCTGCATCTATTTTCTAGTTTAGTTTTAAAATACAACAGATATCAATTGTCAATACTGTGTTCTTCATGTGAAAGCAGTGTAAGACAAGATTAGCACTTTCATCAGAGCAATGGCCTTTCATTAACAGTGTTGTTATAAATATAAAATGCTTCTTGTTCTTTCAGCCTAAGCTTTCTTATTCCTTAAGTGTACATGTTATTTTCCAAAAAGCAGTAACTGTCAAAAATATGAAGATTGATATTTCTTTGCCTAACATAATTGTCAGGACTTAAGAGATGAGTGGGGGCATAAAACAAAGCCAAACTGCTGTAGCACCTAGAAAGGCTGTAGTGTGTTAGTTTTCACAATTCTAGCTTACAATATTTAATGAAAATACCTCAGAAACCACCAATAAAAGCATACAATAATACTAAATATAAAATAAAATTGGTCACCCAGACTTTCTTCTGTAAATTAAATATTGTGTGAATGAAAACTAGATTTGTAGACTGTTAAGGAAAAGTAAAATCTCTGTAAGCAACTTACAGTCCTGTCAGTAATGATCTATTTAAGGAATAGGAATGATCTATTTAATTTTATATTTTTTGTCATGCAATTTTAAGAATAATTCTCAAATTTTATTCTAGCATGGGATTAGTTCTGTAAGAAGGTTTTTGTTCTTTTTTTTTTTTTAAGAGCACAGTTCTTTTTAATGCCACAAGATGGCATTTGCTATAACTAGTATTTGGGATCTAAAGAGAATAAGCTTAAACATTTTGACTAATTATGACAATTTCTCTGTATTGACTGTACAGTTATCAGAAAACTCCAAGCTATGAGATGATATTCAAAAAACTACTTTGTGAAAGAAAAGCAATAGGTTTTTCAATGTGGTGTTAAAATTTTCTTTGTTTAATTATACTCACTTTAGACATTAAAAAGCTGCTCTGCTTTAAACAAATTGTAGTAAGACTATAGAAATAATTTTTTTTTTTCTAAGTGTGGATGGGGGAAATGAAAACCAAAATAGGAGACTTCTGAAAAGTTATTTCATGAACTCCAGTAATTTGTCCTGTGTATGACATGGGACTTGCATGCATTCAATTCTAAAGAGAATAATTGTGGTAGTTTACAGAATCCAGTAAAAATTAGTTTTTATAAACTACTTGGTATTTGAAATTTGCTTTTTGGAAGTGAAATACTGTGGAAATCAGTTTCTCTTGCCCCTTTACAATGTAAGAATGGGTTGCCTTCAGACACTGATTAATAGGTAGGCTAACTACTTTTTTTCCCCTGTTCAGAGCATGTTGGTGGTAACAGTGGTGCATTTCTTTAAATTTCAGGCTGTTCTTGAGCACCTTCACTCTAGCAGTTTCAGCTGGTGCAGTCCTGCTTCTACCTTTCTCAATAATCAGCAATGAGATCCTGCTTTCTTTTCCACAAAACTACTATATTCAGTGGTTAAATGGCTCACTAATTCATGGTTAGTACTCAGCATAATGTAATTACAATGGATGTCTTCATTGTATGTGCACAGATATGTTCTTATTTTCAAACTAATGACTCAATTTTCATTTCAGATGCTAATTGAATTGTTAATATGCTATTGGCTAGTTGTTTTTGCTGCTGTTTGATACATCGCAAAAGTCTGTCTTCACTGTTCTGTTGGGTTTTTTTAAAGAATTATACAGACTTGATGGAATTAAACCAAATTCACTGCTTTGAATATTAATGTAGAATCAGAGCTACTAGAAGCTAACTTGAAAACACGCTGTTCAAACTTCTTCCTCGTGTTAATGCAAGATTCATAAATCTGTCTGTTTAGGATGATATATATAAACTTATTCTCAAAATAAAAAAAAAAAATTAAGAAACTTGCTAGCTATGACCAGTTGGAATTAGATAGTTAAATTCAACTGTTGGTGATTTATTTGTAAAGAAGGAAAATTGTAGAATATAAGCATAGTTGAGTGCGGTAAAGAGGCACAATAGAAATGAACTATTTCAAGGAAAACAAGGTGCAAGAAAAGAATTAGATTTTAAGAGAGTAGACTTTGTCCTCTTCAGGAAATGTGTATGTGGGATCTTACCGGAGGATGCTTTGAAGGCAAAGGAAGCCAGGAGAGAGACTTACTTTGAAGAATAACCTTCAGGAACTGTAATATGGACCTCAGTGTTCAGGAAAAGGAGCAGGTGTTGTAGGAGGTTGATTTGGCTTAATGGAGAACTCCTGAGCTCCAAACCAAAAAGGAGATGTGCAGAAAGTAGAAGTAGGGATGAACTGCCCAGGAGTGGTGTAGAAATATCACCTGAGTTAATACCCTGGTGTGAAATTAGGAAACCCAGGGCATAGCTGGATTTGCAACTGGTGAGGGTTTTCTACAGAGCCAGATTCTTTGCTGGGACATGCAGCGAGAGGCAAGAAGCAATGTTTGCAGGACATGAAGCAACAGTTCTTCCCAGTGGGGATGGCTGAGCACTGGAAAAGGTTGTCCAGAGAGATCTCAATCCTTGGAAGTTTTCTAAAATTCAGCTGGCTAAAGCCCTGAGCAACCTGATAACACCTGCATTTTAGCTGTTTTAAGCAGCAGATCAGACTATGTGACTTTAGATGCTCTTTCTAGTTGAGTTATTCTGTGATCTGTTTTGTCACGCATCATGGGGGATTGTTAATTTGGTATGTCTCATGGAAGGAAAAAACCCTAATTCTCATTTTTTTACACAGGTTTAGCTGTTCAGACAGATTTATATTCAGATGTGAAAAAAAACTGTTAATGGAAAAAGATCCTTCCTTCTGTGTCAGAACTGACTTTGGAAAAAACCTGAAAGTATTTGAGAGTCACAATTATATAATCAATTTGAAATTTTCACTCTGAGAGCTGCTACAGAGCTTGAGAAAACTTGGGTTCCTTAGAAATCTGCTGGAAACATAGCTGTCACATTGGAAGGCCTTTGAATTGCCTAGTGACCATCTTCTTTTGATTTTAATGTGATAATCTTTTGAAAGTACCACTTTATGCATGCACAGTATAACTTACATTTTGTAATATGTCCGATAGTAATGGCTAGCAAGAAAGTAAATTCAGCATCTTGGTGTTTCCAAGTTTGACTACGTATTGCAAAGCTTACGCTAAGGGTAGACGGGACTGAACTAAACCAAGATTTACCACAGTTGGTGTGAAGACGTCAGAAAAATCAGTAGATTTTTTTTGGGTATGACCATGAGCTTCTGTTACTGCAGCGTGACAAAAATCAGTGTACTTTATTTCCTTGGGGAGGGGCTCCCTCTTGTGGTGTTCACTAGGTTTGCACAACAGCGTTGCACTGCCCTGTAAAAACCTACTCCATGTAATGCCATACCTTTTTGTAGTTAGTTATGAAATAACCTGTGCAAGTTTTGAGAGCTAATAGCGCTATCACAAGCACTCCAGTTCAGAAAACGTTTGTGTCTCCGTAACGCTCTAACATAGCTGTCATGTATGGTTTGCTTTCTGCTTTGCAAATCTTATCAAATGGGAAAATTTGTATTGCTTTAAAACACTTTGGTTTTGCCAGACTTATCAATTATAGATATAGTCTGAGGTACTTGAATGTAGCATTAAGGGGTTTTATAGCGTAGAGTGTTGCATTAATTGTGGCATATAGAAAAATGGAAAATATATGTGTCTGATTTTTGAAACTAGGCAGAAAGCCCGTACCTGGATCCACTATAAACACTCTTAGCAAATGTATGTTGAACTGAACCCAGAAATACTTCTGACAGCTGGATGTTTGCTTGTGCTGTTGTTGGATACAGCCACCAGGTGGAGGTAAAACGTAATGAAACTGCCATGAAGAAGAAAAGAAAAATTGCTGAGGGTCTAATCTGTTTGCCAAAGACTGAGAGATTTTAAAATTTTATGTTTTATTAACTTGTTTTATGTGGGATATTCTTAGGTCGCTACAAATGCAAAAAAAATTTAAAATATTCCAATAGACTGCTTAAAGCTCTAATATATGTTGATATCTGCAAGTCTCATGCAATTTTATGATGCAGTCACTATAGTAGGAAATAATTATATTTCTGAGTCTATTTTAATTTTGTTTCTGAACTATTAAATTAGGATAAGAAATATGGTAAGGGAAGAAGGCCCTGTATGTTCCTTACTTTCAGGAAAGTGTGTATGTGTGTCAGCAGCAATACAGCACTGTCCTTACCTCTCATAATTTTACATACATGTTGTAGCTCCATAGTTTAACATTCTGTAAATGTGGTTCCTGTCAGCTGCTAATGTGTGAATTTTTTTGGATTTTAACTTCTTAAAAATCACCCCAGATGTGCAGCACTCTCCCCTCCCTTAAACTGCTCTGTACATGTTACAGCTCCTAAACATTGTTTTACATTGTAGAGATACTTGTAATAGAACTGCTGAAATTAGAACAACAACATATTCAGCTTTACACCAGGTAACTGAATGCACTATCTGTCTTTGGTTAGAGAAAACCCCTGAAATAAGACCCTCATCCTGAGGTAGTAGTATGTGTACTCTAACTCTGGTGTGTTCATTTTTTTTTTTTTTTAAAAAGGGGAGGAAAAAAGTACACAGACTGCTTGAGATAATGTACCTTCAGTAAGGGCTGTTAATGACATTCTTGCTGATGTTGCTATGTGTGAATGTTCCTTGAATGGTAACAGGAGCTTCCTGGCTAAGCAAATTCAAAAGGAAAAATCTCCCTCTTTGTTAACTAGAGTTTAGCCACCTTTAGGCAGTCTGTTTTCTTTAGCAATTGAGTATTATATTTCACACATCTTTGGGATTTTTTTGTTTTGTTTTGTTTTCTGTAGCTTATTTGGCTAAGTTTGGTTCTTGGTGTCCTGGTGCTATCACTTGCTGAAGAAGTAGATTTCTTGCCCCCCTGTCTGCTTGCTCCTACCTAATTTTTATTTCTCTGAAATTTAATTTCATTTAAAGAAATAGGAAATATATATGGTGAAAGCATTTTTTTAAGGGGGTGTAGGTAAAGATAACTAACTATTTCACATTTGGAACTAAATACAGGGATTTCTCTCAATAATGAATTTCCTAGACATGCAGTAAATGTCTCTTTCCTTCCCTGTTCTTTTCACAATGGAAATTTCAAAGAAGAAAATGAACAAGCCTGTACGTGAGAAGAAAGAAATAAACAAAGCTGTTAGTTCAAATTTTCTTATCATGGGGGATGTTCTTTTCTGGATTTCAGGTGATATAATATAGTCCTGCAGAATTGTGGAAGTGTTTGTGTTTTGAGGAAGGTGGGGGACTGAGCCTGTTTTTTCTCAACTGCAAAATAAAAGCTGTTCAGGATGCAGAACATGTGACACTAGTTAAACCTGTTAGCTACACTAGTACTAAATTTCAGGTAAGCTGCTGCTTTTATAAAGAAGAAACACTGCATCCTGCACAACTTTTGATAGGATGATGATGGTTCATGTTTATGCACCAGAAACTGGCTGTTCATACAGTGTTCAACTTAAATCTTAATAGAGCAGATACCCTTAATGGAGATCAGTTATCACTTCAGGTTGTTTTCTAAACCTTTTCCCTTCCTGCAGATGTCACATGTGTCTTGCAGATGTCCTAGTTTTAGTCAGTTGTTTATTTTTCATGTAGATCACAGAATGGTTGAGATTGGAAGGAGCCTCTGGAAATCGTCTAGTCTGACCCCCCTGCTCAAAGCAGGGTCAGATAGAGAAGGCTGCTCAAGGCAGTGCCCAGTCGGGTTTTGAGTATGTCAAAGGATGGCGATTACAAAACCTTCTGGACAGCCTGTTACAGTGTTTGACTGTACTCACAGTGGGAAAAGTTTTCTTACATTTGAGTGGTTTTGGTTTCTTATTTCTTTTCAATTTGTGCTCATTGCCTCTTCTCCATTCACTGGATACAGTGTGAAGAGTCTGTTTTCCTTTCCCCAGTCTTCTCTTCTCAAGGCCAAACAATTCCAGTTTCCATTGCCTCTGCTTTTCTGACAGATGCTCCAGTCCATTAATCATCTTTGTGGTCCTTTGCTGGACTCGCTCCAGTATGGCTATGTCTGTCTTGTGTGGAGGAGCCCACAGCTGGATGCGGTACTCCAGATGTGTGCTACCAGTGCTGAGCAGAGAGGAAGGATCACCTCCCTCGACCTGCTGGCAACACTTCTCCTAATGCAGCCCAGGATGCTGTTGGCACCTTTGTTGCAGGGGGACATTGCTGGCTCGTGTTCAACTTGGTGTCCGAACCTCTAAGGCCTTTTCTATAAAGCTGCTTTTGGGACGATCCCAGTGTCCGCTCTGCCCACTCGTCCAGCCTATTGAGGTTCATCTGAATGGCAGGCTGCTGCTCCTCCCCATTTTGTATCATTGGCAGAGTTGCTGAGGATGCATTCTCTCCCATCGTCCAGGTCATTAGTGAAGATGTAAAACCCAATATTGACCCCCTGGGGTACACCACTGGTAACTGGCTTCCAGCCTGACTTTGTACTGCTGGTCACAACCCTTTACGCCTGGAAGCTCAGCCAATTTTCAGTCTACCTACACTTACCTAGCCCATACTTCATTAATTAGTCTACAGAGGTTATGGGAGATGATGTTGAAAGCCTTACTAAAGTTGAAATAAACAACATCCACTGCTCTCCTCTTGCCCACTGATCCCATCATCTCATCGTGGAAGGCTGCTGTTGCTGTTACCATGAGATCTCCTTTTAATTAGGAGGTGATGATGGCGTTTGTGTATTGCTGATGTTAAAATCCATAATTTGTCTAAGTTTCTCTTGAGGAAAAAAATATGGGAGGTAGTGAGTACACAGAACTGAATTTTGTGAGATTCACTGGTGGTAGTAAAATACTTTTTGTCCTGAAAATTTTTTAAACAGTTGTCTAAAGAGCCCTGAGTGGGATATTGTGGAAGCAGTCCACCTGAGTTTGCAGTCTGTCTTCCAAGATTTCAGACAGTTGCTGCAGTTTAAGTTGGTATCCAGTTTTTATTTGAAGATCATTATGCAGAGAACTACATATTTTTCAGCAATGACCTGTAAATAACCTGGCTTCTGTTAGCACTTGTATACTACATGGATACATGTAAGGGAGGAAAATGTAATATCTTTAACTTTTAAAGTTGAGAAACTTATAATGTAAACTTTTTTCTTGTTTGTTGCAGGTTTATGGAATCTTGCTTCTCTTTTTTCAAATTTATGTTTGTTTGTGTTGATGCCCTTTGCCTTTTTCTTCCTGGAATCAGAAGGATTTGCTGGCTTAAAAAAGGTAGGAAAATACTGTTAAATACAGATTAATTACAGTATATATTTCATTTCTAGCCCTGGTTTCTGATGAAACTGAAATTATGAATTTGTGTGGATTTGGTGCTGGGATATGTATGCTATTGTGAATGTTTGTGTACAGATGTGCACTCTTGCACAAGCAGGTGAAGCGAGTATACCGTGTGTGGTTGTGAGTGACCTTAAGCAGGGGGAAGTCCCTGAAAAGCCATGTATACTAAAAGAAAGAAAATAACTTGACTCGTCCTTTTTTTTTAAAAAAAAAAAAAAGGTTTAATACAGATTTTTTTTTTTTGAAAATTATTTTGTTGGGATGCTAAAAGAGGAGAAGGGCCAATAGATACACTAGAAATAAAGTAACAAGGGAAAGAAGTACAGGCTTTTTACTAATGGGAAGGGTGATTAAATAACAGATGACCCAGAGAAAACAAGCTTGATTTGTGAATTTTAAAGATTACAAACATACCAAAATATGTTCAAGTGTGGTTAGTGTAACAATAATATGTTAAGAAAACTGTCTTAAATGGGTAGAGAATAACTAAAAATCATTACCTTGGTTGAATATATTCAAGTTGAGAGGGCTGAATATTTCAGCGAAGCATAGAATTTGGCATAGCGATTTCTGAACAATAAGATGATAACTATTGTATTAATAGGTGAATTAAAGAAATATAATGAAAAGTTACTATAATGGAAAGCACAGCAAAAGAAATTTCAAATCGTAAATATCAAATAAACTGGAATGACTGTCTGGGGACCAATTGCAGCATGTTTTCATTAATCTTTATCATCCAAATGATTACACTTTTGTTTTTAATGGTACTACACTTGAGGGAATTCCACTCCCTTTGGATGACAGTTATTAGAAAGCAAAGAGTCTTGAAAAGTGGTCTGAAATGAGGAAAATGAAATGCATTAAAGATGGATGCAAAAGGCTATGAGTCATTGGTGGATCACATGTAACATAAATCAACAAGGGAATGATTGTGGTGGAAAGGAAAACATCATTCCTTGTTGCACTGACAGGAATGTGGCATGGAGGCGATGAAGTTGCCAGTTTTGTTCTGGGTGGAATTGGGGAAAGCTCAAGTGAAGTACTGTGTCCAATTTGGAATTTTAGGGTTCATGCAGACACTTAAGAGAAAACAGAAGATAGCAAAGAAGATACTTAAAGTACAGCATGAAGGAAAATTTTAATTCGGAGAGAATAATGTGAAGAATCAGAGATTTTATTTTATAGCTGAAACTACCAGGAGATTATATAGACTGAGCATTATAGCTATGTCAGGATGTGCAAGGCCCAACCACAGTGCAGTGTAACTACTTGTTTGGGGTAGCCTGTTCTGAGCTGTTTGATGCTCCTGCAGTGTTTCTTTGTATTGGTCAAACCGCAGATGTATCCCAATTACTTCAGTTATAAGTTTGGATGACCAACCTTATGAGTTCAACTTCAAAGGAGTTTGTTGATGGGCTAACTATTGTGCATACTACTATATTTAACTTCACTCATCCGACTTTGCTGGAAAGAAGTCTCCTCTTCTTCCTTCGCTTCGGGTATCTATAGGGATAAGAAATCTTTCAGCAACTTTTGTCCTTTCAATTATCTGGTGGAGGCCACTCCATTGTCCTTTTGACTCTATCTAGCCACAGCTAATGTATATCCTTTTTAGGAGAAAAAAGAGATAGGTTAACTGAATTTAGTGGTGTTTGTGTCTCCTGCAGTCCAACCAAACCCAAATATTTTCTCCATTAGCATATCATGGATGGTACTGCTGGTGTGTTCCCTTGACTTGTAGATTTCTGTTGGCTCCAACAGATGCATTAAACTTGCACTTTACATAAAACAAATGCTTACAATGTAACTTTTAAGCTTATGGTACTGGCTATCAATAAATCCCATTCAGGATAAATAGGTTCACTATTGCATGTTTACACTTGGAAGCATTTGTAACTCCAGATAAAATAGAACCATAATCTGTCAGCAGGTATCAGGAAAAAGATGAGTATTGGTGCTTTAGAGTAGTTTTACTTTTTTATGGAGGTAGATGAGATCAGATTTTACTATCAAAACCCATCTGTTGGGGGGAGGGGACACACACACACACAATTTTTGGGATGTTTTGTTAGTTTGATTTCTCCTGGATGTTTTTGGTACAGCCCAAAGGCCAAATGTGACTCCTAGTACAGGTACTCAAGGCCTTTGTCCAATGTCAGTTCTACCTGGCTGCTCTATTGAAAAGTATCAAAAATGGATGCAGACGTATACTGAATTGTTTTACCAGCTTTGACTGAGCCCAAAAGCTATTGATGAAGATGTAGGAGTTGTAGTCTGGTTTTATATCAACATACCTTGTCTTTGGTTGCTTTTCTTAGTAAGTGGCAAATATCACTTCTGGACTAAGTTGATAGTTAAAATTGATGCACAGAAATTATTCTACTTGCAGTAAGCACCATAGATATATATTTTAAAGAGTTAAATCACATACTAGGGTGATTGGAATCTGGGAAAACTTATGCTTAATTGAACTCAGGATTACATGTAAGCTTTTCAGTTCTAGAATCTGTGAAGGGTACTTCCCATCTTTTTACTTTCCTTAGATTTTTGACACATTGCCTATCTCTTCTCAGAGAAGATTTTGAGACCATGATTACGTTGTTGAATTCTCGTATTTTAACAAATTATTTTGGGTTTGATTATACTTGTGCAAGTTGTAAAACAAACCAACCAACCAACCAAAAATTCTCATATGTTGACATTCATCTCATCAGACTAACGGGCAAGAGAGATAAAACATCATTCAAATGGTATTGCTATTAACTGGCAAAATCAGATTTTACCGATCTCAATGTAAAAGAACGTTTCATACATTTGGCGTTTGCAGCATTTAAGAGCAATCTACTGTAAATGTAAAGGCCATTCAATAAGGAGGTTTGGCACAGGATGTGTAATATTTAATCTTTCAGTTGGGAGTTTGATACAAGGAATAGGGAAAGCAGTTGATTCTAGATACCCACCCACCCAGCTCAGCTGACAACTTGGATGAAAAGACACTTCCAATAGAAGCTTTTGTGCAGATCATCTTGCATTTGTCATAGAATTACCTTCATTAGAATGAATAAATAGGTCACTTGAGATTTAGGTGTGGACAGTCAGGATATCTGAAGATGTTAATGTAAGAATTACTTGTTGGATTTTAATCAAAGTTCTGAACATGAATGATTAAAAGATATTCAGTTCTGAAATTGGATTTTTTTCATTTTTAATGGATTTCTTTGTTCAGCTTAAATTGTGACAGTAATGTCAGTTTTTATCACATATGTGCCTAACCCCCTAAGTTTTTAGCCATCTGTTTGAGTGTTTATCTTAGATTATGCTGTAAAAGTTGATTTTTATCTATTCACTGCAATGTGAGCTTTTTGCAAGCTATGATATTTCAGATAGCTCATAGGTTACTGTTATGAGCTTTGTATAACTTTCTTTTCCATGTTCTTGTAAGGAAGTATTGCCCCCTTAACTGTTTGTTTCATGAATCTGAATGGGTTTGATTAGCCATCTTCCAATTTACTATGGCTTTTTTTCTTGGTTGCTAGTATAATTTCTAAATGGCACATGGCCCCTCTTATAGACTCTTTTTGATTCCCCAGGGCAGCAGTTTAAAACAACCAAGGACTTGCATATTGCACAGAGGAGAGAAATACGGAAATTAGGCACTCACCATGGACGGATGCAGTGCTGTACTGAAAATCAAACTGATTCTCTGCCTAGTTTTTAATTACAACTGCAATGTTAATTCAAAAAGGGCATTTTGGGCCTAAGGGGATGGACCATGCCCTTTTAAAGTGCTTAAGTGCTCTTCCTTGCTATAGTTTATTTCCATTTAATGGCAATTGCAGACTTCTGTTATCAGAAAAAGAGTTATAAAAGTAATATTGCTGGTGTATAATATGTCTATGTGTATAGGTTTATATATGTGTATATGCCACGTGTGTATTTATGCACACATATGTATTTTCAAGCACATGTGTAAATTAAGTTTTTCAAGACTATTGAAGTAGTTGGAGTTCATTGGGATATATTACACCTTAGCCAGTGCTAGTAATTGAGCTATTGCAGTACCTGAAGTAACTTTAATCTTCTGCATCGATATTAAAAACTTTTTCACATCTTTCTATATTCTTCTTCTGCTCCTTTGTAGAGACTGTGCAGAAAGTTATATTCCTTGTTTAGATACTTTTTCAGTTGTCACTGGCCTGCTCAAATTCTGTAGTACACAAAAGTGTCAACCTGGTTTCTTAATGTCAGAATTAACTTCATTCTCTAGCATTCTCTCCAAAAAAGGAAAATTGTGGTATTTACAGTTGAGCATCTGTAGTTCACAGTGCTGATGTTTCCATGTGTGATATCAGACTGCATAGAAAATTACGTGTGCTGCTGTGTGAAGGAGGCAAGCATTTTTGAGGAGATAATTGCTATACCTTTTCTTGACCTTAAAATACTCTTTCTCTTGATGTAACTTCAACTGAAATTTGTATTTGTTTGAAGTTGAGAAAGATAAAGATGTTTAGGAGTAATTTCTTTGTAAGAAAATACAAATAGTGCAATTTACCACTGTGAGAAACTGGAATAACTAGGTATTGCATAATCACGAGTGTAGAGTTTTAAAAAGGCTTTATGAAGTATTTTACCTTAATACTGATCTTTGAACTTGAAGTCATGGCATAAAGTTTAACATGAGCGACAGCAACATCCTGACCAATTATCCAAATTATCCAGACATCCCAAAATGTTCAGAACACAACACACAGAGTCTGTGGATTAAGAGGTTAACTCCTGGAACATCAAAAGAAGTGCATGATAATAAAAACAAATAGTACAAAAATTTGAGGTAACTTCCTTGCTTAATTAATTAGGTAGACCAGGTGGAAGCGAAGAGGCCAGAGCTGGTGCTCAGAATGTCTATAAAGCTGAGCAACATGACAGCACAA